GTGATAGGAGGATATAGGAAATGTGAATAGCCCAGGGCAGAATGGGAGATACCATAACTGTTTAGCACACGTTTGGTCAAAGGATCGTCTTCATTTGTCTCTTTGACGAGTTATAATATTGTGCTACGAATGGTAAAACTTACTGACGATGCCGGCAAAACATTTGGGAATGTACCACGTCCACGGTCCGACTTTGGAAATAATTATGCATACAATGAACTCAGGACAAGATGCATTCCTCTAAGTCTTCCTACCAATATGACCAATTGCGAAAACAAGGTCAAACAACTTTTATACAACGAAAGAAGACTGCGAACACACAAAAGGCCACACCATCTTGATCTTCATATCTTCGATCAAGCGTTTCATTTGCTGTCCTTATTATTTTGAGCCATCATTGCTGGTTTCGTGTATAAGCGAACACAAACGGGCACCTAAATATACAGAGGCAGACACACTCACAGGCTTCGAGTTTGGCACATGATGGTAATTAAACAAATCACTGTAAACCTCATCGAATAGCCTATATAGTGTATATATAGAGCTCTTTAAGGATTTGCCGGTAATTTTTTTTGACTTGTTAGCTTGTATTTGGTTGTAACGATGACACCTAGTTCTGATGATGTTTGTCATATGACTGACGAAAGCTTATCACCTTTTCACCGGAATCGAAGGAGATTACCTCGGAGACAGCGTTCGCATGAATCTTTCGGTAAAACCAATCGACAGCTGTTCAAGAGGAATCCGCCGTCGTCTTCTGATGGAACCGACCTTCGAATCTTTTCCCCCACACTTTCACTCGAAATGGAAGTAAGCCTAACAAGTATGAAACAAAAGATTCTTCGAAACCCAACTTTTATTCGAATAACCCTAGCTATGTCATCAGGCCTTATCACACTGCACTATTAACGATCATAGTTATAGGATATTCTTCATACTGGAACTAATACCCACACATATAAATATATAATTGAATGAAAAGAGCTGTGAGTTTATATAGATAACGAAACTTATCTATTCTTATATTTATATTAAGAAGGTTTCGAAACTACTTGTAGATCTTGACTATGCGCTGTATTCATCCTTTCGCAGAAGATTCTTAAGTGACAATCTAATGTTCCCAATAATATATGAGTAGACCTAATATTTCCATTGAATTTTACGTCGTTTTATTTCCCAAAATGTATGTTTATCCTGGGTGGACTGCAGTGCTTACCTCGCCTAGGTCTCATCAACACCGAAAGTAGGACAGCGCTGATTCAAGATCTACTGGTTGTTTCGGAACGTGCTCACTACGAATATAAGTATGCTGGGATAGCAAATACAAGTTTATAGATATGAATACCAAAATGGTGGGGCCTTTGGTTTGATCGCTAATTCCTTTAGCTTTGTAGTGTTTTTTGACCTCTTTTTCATAACTTGCTCGAATTGAAAGGGAGACCTTGTGATAAGGATTTTCCGGTAATTTTTTTTGACTCGTTAGCCTGAATTTGGTTGTAACGATAACACCTTTCGTTAAGCAGGCCGACTATGCTGTCTGCGAAATGTATGTGAATGTACCAAGTCAACGGTCCGATGTTGGGAATTATCATGAATACTATGGTACAGGACGCATAACTTGATACGTTTCACTAAGCCTCTATCGCTCCGACCAAGTAAGTAAAACGAGGTCAAACAAACACATATATAAATTTGCTTCCTTGAAAAGCCCATTTCAAAAATATGATATGGGAAAGGACATGTCTTCCTTGCAATTAATATCGTGACATCGTAGTTTGACTGTTAATATGTCGAGATTATACGTGGCATTACAAGGTTTAATATTCCAAGGTGTGGATAAGACATTGGTGAGGTGGAAATTTCAGTCCACCCTGGATGAGAATATTCCTTGAGGAGCAAGGCTATGTGGAGTCGAATGGAAATGTGAGGCCTAATTATATTATTATGGGAAAATCGAGTCATCATTTCATGCGACTTGGGATTAATACTGCTCATATATACCTTCCTACCTCATAACTTTTATTTTTAATCAATTATCAGTGAGATTTGCTGTTTAAGTATTTTATCTTTATTAGCGAAAAAAGAAAAGTAGCTAGAATGAGTCTTAAGGTATGTATCTTCCCATTCTTTTCGCACAACCAATGATTTGAGGCAGTTTTTCAAGGCACTTATTCATCTTAGATATTTGGTTATCTTTCGGCTTGGTTATTCAACCACAATTTATAAACGATTTGTTTTGGTATTCATTTTTTAATCCTATCCACATATCTTGGATATCTGTCTTTTTGAGAGCATTTAATTCTAATTTCATATGCTCATTTATCGTAGGATCCTTAATTGTGCCATTTCTAATAATATCGGGTTGCAGATTGGGCATTAATTCGGCAAAATAAGTGATCCCTGGTTAAATGTATCGAGTCTTTTTAAATTTTATTTTAACCGAAGCATGCAATTTTAGCTGTATCCTTTTTGAATGAGATCAATTTATTTCATATCA